AATGCATACTAACATATTATGCCTTTTACCTTGCAGGGGTTTTTTTTTTCTCTCTCTTTTTTTTTTATTTGATGCGGTTTACTACCATTTTAATGAGTGGGCCTGTGGGCCCCTTCAGCCTGAAATTCTTCAGTTGAAGGAGCCTGGTAGAAAATTGTTGGCTGAACAGCAGCTGCATCAACTCAAGTGCAGTCTCTGTTTGGGAATTTTGATAGCTGGCTGGGTCAGCTGTCAAAATACAATATTCTCAGTGGGCATTTCTGCTATCCACACTGTACAGCCCACAGGCTGAATGAAAAAGTCTTTATGTGTATGGCCAGTTCAAAGGGACATGAATGACAGTTTTCATTATGTTTAATTTCTGGTAAATATTATCATTAAATTCTTTGTTTAATTGTTGTTGAAAATACATTTGTAAAGTAAGGGGGTGTCATTACGTTTCTTTAGTTACAGCGTATTCTTTATTACTTTCTTTGTTTCTGTATCTACAATTTATTGATCACACAAAGGTCCTATTCACACCTGAGAGTTTTGTAGCTTGAAGCTCCAAGACTCTCAAAGCTGGTTCACAACAGAATGCAGTGCAAGAAACCCGCATTCTGTGCGCTTTTTACTGCAATGCATGCATAACGCACTGCAGATGCGATCTTCAGCGGGTATCAATACAAAGTTAATGACACCCCAAATACAGATTGCAAATGCAGTGCTTTTGCTGCAGTGGATCGCATGGAAAAATACAATGCAAGTTGCAGTGCATTTCTAAAAGTAGTGTGGTGCGATTTTAGCCCATTCTGTTCTATAGAGTTCCAAAATGATCAACTTTGATATTTTTTTATATATCTTGGAAAGGTGTGATATCAAGAAGTAGGAAAAGACCTTCCATATCATCCATATGTAGGGTGGCAAAGTGTAATCTATTCCTGTCAGTGACGCTGTTACCGTGGTGGTGTTGTTTGTTGTGTGCAGAAGCTGGAGGAGCTTGTACATCTCAGCTGGGGGTTCATATCCAGTGTTTGATGCTTTGCCTGTGTTTGGGTTGGAGATGAGGACAGCTTGGTGTCTCCTTGGAGAGACACAACAACCATTTGACTTCCATTGCTGGGACTCTTATCTGCGCCTGGCTGGGGGTCATTTCTGTAATTAGCCGTCCTGTAATTTGACATTCAGTAGACTGAATAATCTGAGATGGACTTAAAGGTTTGTTAGGCTAAGGTTACACAGGAGATTTCAGTCTCTTGTTGGCAGTCACCTCATTTGCCAAACACTTCAGTTGTTATGTTGTTAATGAGACAACTGTCCATAATGGATGACAGAAACATTTGCTGAGAGAACATGTGGGCTGCTTTGCTGAACCTATGAAGATGTGATTTTCTTGGTTTTATGCTTCCATGCCCTCTGAGTCCTGGAACAAGCTAACAGATCAAGTAAGTTAGAAGTCCTCATCTGCGTTCCTGATTCAGGTCACTGACCCAGAAAACATTGGAGCCACATGACAGCCCAGGAACTAGCAGAAGGAAAGTCAGCAGCAGCAGATCAAGAGGGACACTTGTCCAGCTGACGAGTGTCTAAAGCAATGGTCTCCAAACTGCGGCCCAGGGGCCAGATGCGGCCCTTATCTGGCCCTTGGAGCACTATTCCACCAACTGACACCAATGATGGGGCACCATTCACCATACTGACACCATCAATGGGGAAGCATTCTCACTGATATCAACAATGGGGAACTATTTCTCCCATTAAATCCAATGATGGAGAACCGATACCTGGGAATTTTCCACTCTGACAAGTCACAGTCTGGCCCCCATAAAGCCTGAAGGCGCTTTTCTTGGAAAGTCTGGAGACCCCTGGTCTAAAGCAACCTTTCTTAACCTTTTTACCCATGAGAAACACTTGAAAAAATGTTGAAGTTCTTGGGTAACCCCTACTAAAATGGGTTATATAGTACCTGCAGCTCATGTGACATAAACTTGTTGATCACGTTAAGATCTGGTTCACACCTATGCGTTTTTCAGTGCATTTTACAGAAACGCACTACAGTCCATTTAACATGGTTTCCTATGTGACATGTTCACATCTATGCGTTTTCAGCCGCTGAGTTTTTGGAAAGGTTCAGGGAGTTTTTTCCTGCAGCAGATTGCGTTTTTGGTGCAATAGACTTCAATTCAACTACACCAAAAATGCAAGTGTTGCATGTGTTTTTTATGCATTTTTTCCCAATAGGAAAGTATTGACTGTGATTTTGATGCAACTTTATACTCTCTGGCACTCATGGTCGCACCAAAGTAGTGCAGGAACCTTTTCAAAGTACCAGCGACTTTGCAAAGGTTCCTACACTACTTTGAATGCCAGAGAGTGTAAGATCGGATCAGAGTCGCACTCAATACTTTCCTGTTGGTACAAAATGCCACAAAACTCAAAACGCATCAAAGCATGTAAAAATCGCATGTTCAGAAATGCAAAATGCAGCACAAATTGTGCTATAAAAATGCTTCAATCGCAACACGCCTAGGTGTATACCAGACCTAAAAGAACAAGTAGTGTGGCATGCCAGCATACCTACAAATTTTTTTCAGTAATACTCGTGAAATACTTAATAACTGTAAAAAAAGAATGCAGACTGTAACCGTTGTGGCATCCTCTAATATTAATGGACATTGTAGAGGTGCTCCTTATATTGGTACATTAGCTCCTTACATTAGTAGAAAATTGACTTGTTGCATTGTTGGTCAGTGTAGGTGGGAAATTAAATCAATGCTGACGATTCATGGACCCCTTAGCAACCTCAGGAGGAACCCTAGTTGAGAAACACTGGTCTCAACTATCATATGTGGCAGTTCTTGACACTCCTCTGAAAAGTGATCTGCAGTGGATCGCTTTTCACGGGGGCATTTGACCGGCAGTGAGGGGTCATATGTTGCCTTTCCACTGCCTGTTTTAACTCTGAAAATGTTGATGGTTCCAGTATGGCCCCATTCACTTGATTTGGTCACGCTAAGCAGGGATATTGCCAGCTGAACGCAACATGGGGGTTAATTTTTGCTGCGGCATGTGTACAAACCTGAGCTGCTGCATGTATTTGTTTAAGTGAGTGGTCAGCCGGAGGTAATACCACAGCTCTGCCTGCTTTTACCGCCCCCTGGCCACCCATGTAAACATGCCCTAGGAGGGAATTTCCCTTGTTTTAGAGAGATTTTCACTCCCTTTCTGCTGTGTCTACAAAATAGGAAAAAAAGGGACATTTCCAGAAAAACTGACAGGTTTGAATTATTTTTTTTAATTGATTCAAAAATGAGGAAAAAAGTTTTGGCTTTAGCTATACATTAAGCACATTATAGTCTGATGCACTATATACTATTAAGTTGAGTGATATTCCTGGCTGTATCGGTTCATATCATTATATGCTAGTCAGGATTTGATGGACTGAAAAATTGGAAGCAATCCAAAGCAAAAGTTATAGGGGTCACTTATATCGCATGTAAGTTCATCATTTATTGTGAGTAGCTGGTGGAAAATGTATCTAAACCCAAAAACAAAAATGTAATATATTGCAACTTATCAGTCCTTAGATGTGGTGGATGCACTTGTTTTCCAGGGGGTGGGGGGGGGGGGTGTTTTCTTTTTTTAGGCAAAGGACATTTTCAGCAAGTAGAGAAATATACTTGTTGATTGTACTGGAAACAAAGTATTCTTGTCACTCCCTGTTAGATGAAAAGACAGCAAAACAATCTTTCTTGTGTAAACTACTACTCCTATCATACGCCATGTAATGGAGGTGAACAAAAGCAGACTTGTTTGAAGTCCAGCCTGTGTGACAAACATGGCTTCCCCCAGAGAAACAGCAGAGAAGCGAGTGTAGCCATGAAGGGACAAGAAGTATGTTACCTGCAAGATTACAAAGTGAAAATAAAGGAGTAAAAGCCTGAAAAACTAAAACTAATGCAACCACCAAATCTAAATACTAATAATATGAAGTATATAACATGTTTGTTTTGAGGTTTCAAGGTTTGGCTTTTAAAAGAAAAATAAAAATAACATAGATGTCCTACTCACCTGTTCTGTGCAGTGGTTTTACACAGAGCCCCCTACCAGCACTCCTGGCTCCTCCCCCTTGACCAGTACCCCCAGTAGCAAGCCACTTGCTATGTAGGCACTGGTATGTGCTCGCTCCAGAGCCCTGCTCTATGTGTCCTTAAGACACATAAAGACGCGGCTTGGCTCTCCAAACTACTGTAAAAATTGTTTTAAATATATTGGTTATTCAGAAGAACATATAACCCCTCTGAATCCTACATTTTTAGCAGAAAGAGTAAAAAGTAATTTAAATTGGTCTTTATTCATTGTTAATATAGTTACTTTCTGGCTACAGACCAAAGAGTAAGAGTAATCTGTTTTTCACAACATTAATCCCATACAGTATGGAGTTTTACAGGAAAAGGAGATCTGGCTACAGGACCTAGAAACTCAAATACTTTTAATTAATGTCATCCTTTCTTAAATAAAGAAGGGATGGGGTTGTGTTTTTGTATATTTGTTAATAATAATTGTGTTTAAAATAGTTTGAATTTTTAAAAATGTCTTGCCTTCCATAATGAACTTCACAATGCGGGGTAGATGTGGCAAAGACACCCTTCCTATGACAACCTCCACCTAATGTTGAAGGCCATCACTTGGCTCCCCTTCCTCAGGACATGGACTCACCTTTCTCTGTCCAACACCACTCTAGTGTGAGCCAGCTGAACTACGCAGTACTTCCTGGTATGGGTGAGCATGTGACTCCCTTCTTCTATCTCCTGTGAGATCTCTGGAGACTGGTGATTGGACTAGTCCTCTCACATGGAACCAATGAAGGTGTCCATAGCTTTGTGTAAGCAACAAAAAAGGCAATGTGGAGCTTAGAGGGTTTGCTCTCCTTGGTTCTTGCAGTTGAATGGAGAGGGGTGGGAGAGTACTGTATATACATGTGAGTATATTTGTATGTGATACATGTTGTTGTCTTACAGGGAAATGCCCTGCACTGGCTTGCTTGTGCACTATATGTAGCCTGCAGACAAACAGTGCCAACAGTGGGCAGAGGGACCGTGGAAGGAAATTATGTTTCGCTCACTCGGATCCTGACTTCATCAGAACTAAGGTAATGAATAAAGATTACACAGCAATTGGGACACTTCATCTCCAGTCTCCACTAATGGGTGAAACAAAACGATTAAAACATTTTTACACCTTTTTGCATCATTCTCCATCCCTCTTCCAGATGCAGTATAAGTCCCTAGGATATTAAGGCCTCATGTGAACTGCTGCTCCAAAATGGAAGTTTAGGAGCTTTTGGCATTTTTTTTGCTAAAGCCCCTTAACCACTTTCCCTCCTGAGGATTTACCCCCTTCCTAACCATGCCATTTTTTGCGTAACGACACTGTGTTACTTTGACAGTTGCACGATCATGCAACACTGCACCCAAATGAAATCTACGTCCTTTTTTTTCCCCCACAAATTGAGCTTTCTTTCGGTGGTATTTGATCGCCTGTGTGTTTTTTATTTTTTTGCACTAAAAAAATAAGCGAATGACAATTTTGAGAAAAAAACTATATTTTTGACTTTTTGCTATTAAACATGTCCAGTGAAAAAATTTAAACAAATTTCATTATAAAAATTTAGGCCAAAATGTATTCTGCGACATATCTTTGCTAAAAAAAATCCCAATACGTGTAAATTAATTGGTTTAAGTGAAAGTCATAGCATTTACAAATGGCGGTATATATACTGGATTTTTTTTTTTTTGTTAATTTTTACTTGTAATAGCGGCGACTTATAGCGGGACTGCTTGCAGGTATTCTGATACTGGGGGGAACTGACTTGGTGTCACTGACATCCCCAGCGACACCAATACAGTGATCAATGCTAAAAAGAAAAACACTGACACTGTACTAATGGCACTGGGCAGGAAGGGGGTTAACATGAGGGGTAAGCAAAGGGTTAACTGTGCTGGGTGTGTTTTACTATGGGGTCATGTGTTTGTGCTTCACTGTAAGCACACTGCTTTGTATGGCTGTACACTAGTTGACTGGGAGGAGAACTGTTTTGTTTACAAACAGTTCTCCTCCCCGTCGGAGATCCTCAGCAATCACCAGGTGCCAGTGAGTAATCACCAGCCGGGACCCAGTGATTGACAGCCGCGGCTGCGAATGGCGGTGTGGGTAGGGCGTGCACCCCTTACCCAGAAATGCAAAACCACGTGTATATATACGTGATTTTCTGCTCCCGTGCCACCCTGTAGCAGTATTTCTGCTATAGGGCGGGCAGGAAGCAGTTAACTTAACTCAGTAAAATCCTATGTGTCCATGAACAAATAGGTTTTTATCAGCGTTTAGCAGGAGCAGCATTCAGGAGCAGTTAAACATCCCTCTCCTGAATGCAGAAGAATCACATTCAGGAGAGAAACATTTTGGCCAAGAAACGCAAACCGAGGCAAAAATGTATGTTTAGCGTTTAGGTGTTTATTCATTTAAATGGAATGTATATAAATATCCAGCCCCCCTATGCTGATCTCAGTAGCACACACATCCTGCACTGACCTCATTAGTACACACTGTTTGCCCATCAACTGTTTTTCACAGCATCCCCGGGATCTCTACCCACGTGCATTTGCCTGGCTACCCCAGCATCTCTACAGACGGGCTCAGGCCGAGTGATTGGATAGATGGTGTGTCCTTCTATTATATAGTTTTGGTAAATCTAAAGGAGATCGTACAGAGATTGTACAATCAGATTGTATAGTGTATGGCCACATTTATACACCAAAAATTACCTAGTTGCACTTTCATTGTAATTAATTGTTAATGGCACACCAAACACAGAAGCAAGCACACGTTTTGCCACATGAAAAGACAGATGACAAATGAAACAAAACGCGCAGTAAAAAATGTGCAATACACATCACACCAAAATGCCCCATGAGCCTTTGCCACGTGTAGCACAGCCCATTGAAATCAACAGGCTGCCCTATGTGTGTCAACGGAAAAAAAACAAGCCAAAAAACATGCCCTCCCTCGACTCTAGGTGTGAATGGAGCCTGAAAATGAAATTGGTACGTTTACCCAGAACAATGAGGCTCCATTCACATCTGTGTGTTTCTGAATGCATGACAGACTGCACAGAAAATGTGTGCTTTGCCATGCATTTCAGACACGTTGCAAATGTACATCGTGTTTGTGTTGTCATTACGTGTTAAAGTGTTACTAAACCCAGGACCCTGCATTCATATATCTGGTCTCCCACAGTACACGGAACATGGAAATGCAATTATTTCAGTAAATGTAAACTGCTAAATACCTTTTCTCATCAGCAGTTAGAGCAGTCTTGTGACTTCAGCTAATCTCATTTTGCTACCTGTATAAAAGACACCTGTCCACAGGAGCAATCAAACAATCAGATTCCAAACTCTCCACCATGGTAAAAAAACAAACAAAGAGCTGTCCAAGGATGTCAGGGACAAGATTGTAGACCTACACAAGGCTGGACTGGGCTACCAAACTATCACCAAGCAGCTTGGTGACAAGGTGACAACAGTGCAATCATTCACAAATGGAAGAAACACAAAACAACTGTCAGTCTCCCTAGGTCTGGTGCACCATGCAGGATCTCACCTCGTGGAATGTCAATGATCATGAGAACAGTGAGGAATCATCCCAGTACTACACGTGAGGATCTTGTCAATGATCTCCGGGCAGCTGGGACCACAGTCTCCAAGAAAACAATTGGTAACACACTACCCTATCTCCTCTCTCCAATCCCCTAGGCAAAAACAAGCAGCTAATGTGTGCCATGTGGGCACAGCCCCACTGCATGGGAAAGCTGTTCTTGCCTGGAGTTAGGCTTTAAAGTATAAAAAGAACAATGATGTCAGTGTCCTGGCTTACTATGTTGTTTAAATGGTGGAGTAACATTAAAATTTCTGACAGGGCGCGGTGAACATTAAGACCCTTGACAGTCATAACGGAGTAAGCTAGATAATTATTGCTATTTATAGAGCTGCTGTCTTCACACTGCCATTACAAGAGATAGACATGCTGCCTGTGCAACCATTTCATTTCATGCATATTGTAAGAGCAGTAGGACCCTTCAGAGAAACCACATGGTGATTCCAATGTTGCCCCCTTCACTGTTAAAGTGTTACTAAACCCAGGACCCTGCATTCACTATATCTGGTCTCCCACAGTACACACAACATGGAAATGCAATTATTTTAGTAAATATGAACTGCTAAATACCTTTTCTCATCAGCAGTTAGAGCAGACTTGTGACTTCTGTCAGTGTCCAGCAGAACACTGGTTACAGCTTGTGGGAAGAGTTTTAATTCTCTTGTAGTAGGATGCAGGATCCCTGATCTCTGTCTGGGCAGTGCTGATTGGCCCTGTACTGATCTCCCAAGAAAAAAAAAAACTCCCTAGCAATAAACACCAGACTGAACATGTGCAGCTTGCCCCCAAACCTCCGTTCTATCATGATATATTTAAGAGATACTGGGAGAAGGGGAGGATCAGAGAAGTCAGGATCACAAATTATTTTTACACAATGCGGAGGATTAACCTCTTAGGTTCTACAGTGAGTATAACAAGCATGCTTTACTGCACACACATACTGATGTTACTGTTGTGGGTTTAGTAACACTTTAATTAATAGGCGTGTTAGACTACTGAAAAGTCTAGGACCAAGCACAGGAACATTTGGCACTGACAGGATTTTCAGAGATTTACAGAGATGTTGCAGGTACCACTGATATCAGAGACCATTGAAGTAAAGTGGAAGACAGAATTTGAAATGGGTTTTTGTTAAAATATCGGTGCACAGTAAGCTGGTCACACACTAAAATCCCTGATCGATCAGCTGAATTTTGATCAATCAGTGGGCAAGCTTCCCCACTCAACAGAAGTCAATTGTTTAATAGACTTCTTTCGAAGGGACATGTTGGAAGATTTTTCATCAGTCATCTACTGAAGCCAATTGGCTGCTGCCACTGATCAGTGTGTTCTGACAGTGGCAGGTCCTGCTGCTGTCAGAATGACCGATTGAACAGGTGCTAGCTGGGGTGAATTTTTTTTTTTTGGCTTTCTTTTCTTTCACACACCTCTCATTACTTGTTGAGATAAACACCCAGATTTAGTAAAAAACCTTGCAGGACTCCTTTTCAAGTTTGAAAGTTCATATTTATGAACTGTGCCATTTCTGAATCCCAGGTTCACTTATGCAGTGCAGCTCTTATACAGTGCCTTGAAAAAGTATTCATACCCCTTGAAATTTTCCACATTTTGTAATGTTACAACCAAAAATGTAAATGTAATTTATTGGGTTTTTAAGTCATAGACCAACACAAAGTGACACATAATTGTGAAGTGGAAGGAAAATGATAAATGATTTCAACATTTTTTATAGATAAATATGTGAAAAGTGTGGCATGCATTTGTATTCAGCCCCCCTGAGTCAATGCTTTGTAGAACCACCTTTCACTGCAATTACAGCTGCAAGTATTGTTGGGGATGTCTCTACCAGCTTTGCACATTTAGAGAGTCAAAGTTTTGCCCATTCTTGTTTGCAAAATATCTTAAGCTCTGTCAGATTGGATGGAAAGTGTCTGTTAACAGCAATTTTATGTTTTGCCACAGATTCTCAGTTGGATTCAGGTCTGGACTTTGACTGAGCCATTAGATGAATATGATTTGATGTAAACCATTCCATTGTAGCTCTGGCTGTATGTTTAGGTTTGTTGTCCTGCTGGAAGGTGAACCTCCGTTCCAATCTCAAGTCTTTTGCAAACTCTAACAGGTTTACTTCTAAGATTACCATATATTTGGCTCCATCCATCTTCCTATTAACTCTGACCAGCTTCCCTGTCCCTGCTGAAGAAAAGCATACCCACAACATGATGCTGCCACCACCATGTTTCACGGTGGGGATGGTGTGTTCAGGGTGATGTGCAGTGGTAATTTTCCGCCACACAGTGTTTTGCTTTTAGGCCAAAAGGTTCCATTTTTGTCTCATCTGACCAGAGCATCTTCTTCCACATGTTTGCTGTGTACCCTACATGGCTTTCCACAAACTGCAAATGGGACTTCTTATGGCTTTCTTTCAACATTGGCTTTCTTCTTGCCATTCTTCCATAAAGGCCAGATTTGTGGAGTGCACGACTAATAGTTGTCCTGTGGACAGATTCTCCCACCTGAGCTGTGGATCTCTGCAGCTACTCCAGAGTTACCATGGGCCTCTTGGCTGCTTCTCTGATTAATGCTCTCCAGCCTGTCAGTTTAGGTGGACGGCCATGTCTTTGTAGGTTTGCAGTTGTGCCATTTGTCTTTCCATTTTCGGATGATGGATTGAACAATGCTCCGTGAGATGTTCAAAGCTTGGGATATTTTTTTATAATCTAACCCTGTTTTAAACTTCACAACTTTATCCCTGACCTGTCTGGTGTGTTCCTTGGCCTTCATGATGTTGTTTGTTCACTAATGTTCTCTAAAAAACCTCTGAGGACTTCACAGAAGAGCTGTATTTATACTGAGATTAAATTACACATGGGTGGACTCTATTTACTAATTAGGTGACTTCTGAAGGCAATTGGTTCTACTAGAGTTTAGTTAGGGGTGTCAGATTAAAGGGGGCTTAATACAAATGCACGGCACACTTTTTCCGATATTTATTTGTAAATCATTTAGAAAACCATTTATCATTTTCCTTCCACTTTGTGTTGGTCTATCATATAAAATCCCAATAAAATACATTTATGTTTTCGGTTGTAACATGACAAAATGTGGACATTTTCAAGGGGTATGAATACTTTTTTCAAGGCACTGTAATCCACTTCTTCAAGCCATTGGCCCTACTTGAACTCAAATGTGAGTATCTACAAAGCAAGAGCGGACTAAGATTTTGTGGCTGGGAAGACAAACACAACCAACTGTGACCTAAACAACATTCACCTCACTAAATGTGCCGTAGTGATTGGTGACTATGGGGAAAGGCTGCAGTTGTCTTTAAACTGATATTTACTGAAAAGCAAACATTTATTTATTTGCAGCTCACCAATTCTTGGCTGCGTTCGTTTTCTTTTTTTAGGGTCCATTCACACAGGTGCATTTAAAAACAGGGTGTGCTTTTTTTCAAAAATATATATCGTGTTTTTGATGCATTTTTGGTGTGTTTTCTGGTTGCCTGATTCCCAGCATGAACCTATGAATCATTGACATCAAAAAGCGCAACAAAAACATGGCCGCAGCGTGGTTTTTATGTTTGTTTGTTTTTTTTTTTTTGCATTTTCAGGTATTTCAATGGGAGGTATGTTTTTGGTGCACTTTTGAAACAGGACGCGAAAAATGCAGCATGTAGGGCTTTTTCAAAATGCACTGCACCTGCAGGACACTAATGTGAAGAGTTCCATAGAATTTAAAGGGAAATATTTTTATTGCGTAATTGTTTTTGCACTTTAAGCAGGGCAAAGGAGCAGGAAAAGCGGATCAGTGTGAAAGGGCCCCAAGCCTTACTTTCTTTCAACTGTGATCCTACCAGTAAGTCTAATGTAAGGGATGAGACAAATCATTTACCATTGACAGGGGTACTCACAATGGTCAGCTTTTATTTATTTAGGTATTTAATATTGCTAACAGGCTTTGCTTTTTTTTTTTTTTAAAGCTTGATTGAATTCTTCAATAAAATGAAGAAGTGGGAGGACATGGCCAATCTGCCTGCAGATTTCCGTGAAAGGACCAAGAAGCTAGAGCGCAACTTCACAGTCACCGCTGTACTTTTCAAAAAGTATGACCCTATCTTCCAGAAGATCTTTAAAAACAGCCAGGAGGAGCAGCCGCGGCAGCACAGGGGCCGGAAACAACGGTAAGTTTTAGAGATAGGTAAGAATCCACAAGGTTGGTTACTATTGTATTTGGCAAGGTTTGTATAATCTCTTACGCTTGCCTCCTTTTTTCCTCTTTGTACTCCCCACAGTTAAGGCGTATTCTCAGTTTTGCAGTCAGATTTGAGAAAACTCAAATACATGTCTGTTATAGGTCTCCATTCACACAGCATACCTAAAAAAAAATAAAACAAATTCAAAACCTGGCCAATTCTGACATTTCTCATACATGTAAAAATTGCATTTTTTTTTGCTAGAAAATTACTTAGATCCCTCAAACAATATATATTTTTAAGCAGAGGCCCTGGAGAATAAAATGGTGGTAGTTGCAATACTGTAGTTTTTGTCACATGATATTTGTGCAGTGGTTTATCAAATGCAGTCTTCAGAAAGAAATACACTGTAATGAAATGTAGTGCATACAGGCACAATATATTACACATTTTTTTGTAAAATATAAAAGATGATGTTAAGTTGAGAAAATAGATACCTAACATGTCACGTTAGGCACATGGAATGATGATAAACTACAGTACATTCAATTATCTATTGGGGATGCTTTAAAAGCCTTTACGGGTTACCAGTTCAGAGTTAAACAGGAGGTCTGGTGCTAGAATCATTGTTCACACACTGTTGTTCACAACTATTCCTCACATGTATGGAATGACCGCTGTTTACATATGTGTGTTGGACCTGCATATGCATTACATTTTTTTTAAAATGTATTTAATTGTGTTTTTTTTTTTTCCAACCTGTACCTTTTTTTTTTAGTTTTTATTATGAACTTTATTGCTATCACAAAGGATGAACATCCCTTGTAATAGCACGGGCCGTAACAGGTTCTCTTTAATCTAATAGACCCCAGATCTCTTCTCTGCCTTCCAAAGCAGCCATTCAAACCAAGATCGGTTTGTTCGGCTGCATTACTAGCTGGTAATGGCTAGTAAATAAACAGCCAAAACCGGAAGTGACAAAATCCTTGACGCTTCCGGTTTCATATTCCCTAGAGCTGATCAGGGAACAGAAGTTCCTCCTTCATCTCTCTACCTGTGGATAGGGACAGATGATCTGCCCGGTGGTTAGGAAGGAATAATCCTTCCTAATCCTTAATAAATTCCTTCCTAACTACAGGACAGACCATCTGTTCCTAGCCACAGGCCAATTTCCACTTCTCAAAAGTTGCCTACTCCTGCTCCAGAGAGGTCCACAAAATCTAGTCAGATACGTGACTCTCCTTCGGGTCATTTCGCCAGCACTGTGACGTCATTTCCGGGTGCCGCGTGTGCGTCATTTCTGCCCAGCAGATCTCATTGACCGGCATCACACGTAGACTGTTGGAACCCATAGGGAATTCACAGTGGTTTCTGGCCATGGTGACACCTTGATTTTTCATCTACCTCCCGCAGACCACTGGATTGTGGGTCATCCATCAGTGGACGCTGTCCAGCACTGTCAGGTTTGGAACATCTATGTCTGTAAGCATCCTCCTCTCTGGAAGTTTTTAATCATGTTCAAGTTGCATGGTCTTAATAAGGCTTGCATAAGTCATTCATCTCTTGGGCTCAGTTTTAGGACATTCTTGCACCTGGAAGACGCTCCTTGCTGATCTTTTAATGAAGAACTGAGATCACAGTACAGACAGGGTTAATTATGTTACACATTACTTCACAGCCCCCTCATAAACATCACAAGGGGGGGTAGGGGGGGTAATGTAAGGATTTTTAAGCAAATAAAAAAGCACTTCAAAGAAATTTTGTCCACATTGCTGGTTACTTTTAAGTTATGTTGTGTTAATGCAGGGCTGTCGAAATCAACTTTATCATGGGCCACATCAACATTATGGTTGCCCTCAAAGGGCCAGTTGAGTCTCTAGGAGGAGAGCACACAACCCTCCCTTACATCAGATTTCAAAAGCCCCCCACCATTAGAAGTCAAGGATCCATCACCCTCGATTACATCACAGTGCACCCCCCCCCCTTACCTTGTGCTGCTACCAGTAAGAACCTTGGGGTGGAACTAGAAACTAGAAAATGCAGGGTCTGGAGGAGAACCAGAGGAGGGCTGCCAGAGTCTGCTGAATGCTAATACCAGGGTGGAGATGAGGGGATGCTGTGGCTGCACAGTGAGGTGTAGGATCTGTAGGAGGCGTCCTGTCCCCCTTTCTGCTGCCGACTGCTGAGACAAGGTGGGGGCGGAGACAAGGGAGGAAGCCGCAGTTTCAGGAGAGGTGTGAGGGCCACATGATATGGCCTGACTGGCCACGTGGGCCTTCTGTTTGACACACGTGTATTAATGTCTGTGTTCAGGATCAATCATCTAAAGGTAATTGCTGCATGAACAATTAGTTGCGATCGGCAGCAGCTGCAGAAGCTGTCAGCCTCCCATTGCTTTCAGTGGGGCTTCCTGCCCGCAGCCAGATGCAGGGAACCCCGCTAGGTCTCCCACATCTAAACACAAACCGCTCCATTCACAGGTGTGAATGGGGCCTTAGGCATCAATTAGCATTTTTCTGATTGCTATGCTCGGCTCTATAGTATTTGATTTGACCTAGATGGCTATATCAGTTCAAATTACAGCAGTGGCAGAAGAGACTATGGGCAGTGACGGAGACAAGAGTGTGTAGTGTAACTTACAGGTCTCACCCCCCCCAACTGCTGCTAGGAGTCATGATGTGGAGTTTGCCTTGAAAAGCTTCTCATTGACAGTGATGTAAATATGGTGGGTTCTAATTTTTTGTGTCTGGAAACATTGTTATAGATTCATGAAATTAGATAGAATGAAAATTCTACAATTTATTGCTGTGCTTAATATATTAATTGAAGCCATAGAAACATATTATTTTATGTTGGTAAAACTAACAAGTAATAAAAAAAGACACCAAGCTAAAACAGACTTTGCTTGATGTTTATATAATTAGCAGTTTAAATAATTGCTAGGATCAGAATCAATTATTTTACACACAGAGGGGGGAAAAGTGATCTTGCAGGCTTTGTATTCCAATACACTGAGTAACTGAGCCAACGTGAAGTTAGGGTACATCTACACTTACACAAAGAAACCCCTTACTAAAGAATAGTGACATTTTCCTGCCCCTACTAACATTCAGTGCTGAGAATTCTTCTTACTTCTCTGTATACAGAGGCCTTTTCAGTATTGTCAGAGCTGAAGTTATGCACAACCTTTTGCCAAGGCATGCAAACTCTATTTTTTATTATTTCCTACAAAACCTTACTTATTGTTTTATGTTTGTAGATAGACCAGTGTCACTAGAGCTAATCCAATAATGCAGTGCAAATGGATGACATGCAAAGTTCACTAACCTATATCGGCCACATTTAGAGTGGATGTAAACCTCAGATATGATATGGGAACAAAGTAGATCTTTCTATAGTGTGTACTTGTTTCATTTAAGAGTACTAAGTGTCATTTCTGTGTGCTGATTCATTCCTCTGATATCTGTGTGAATCACTTCTGACAAGTTTTCCTGACACCAAGAGAAAAAAGGTGACAAAGGAGGGATTGGAGAAATCTCCAGCACACAGCCTGTGATTGACAGCCTCAGCTCTGTTCCTGTGTGCTGTGTAAAGGGGGGGGGGGGGCTTCCCTCCAATCGGCTCTCAGAGCTCTCCTCACTGAGCTCTGCAGTGTGTAATTTCAGCTCTCCACCCCCTGCTTTCTGACAGCTCAGACAAGCTTTATAAATTCTGCACTTTGGATGTAGAGAAGAGAAAACTACAGATAAACAGGTACAACTTATGCAGGAGTATTTGTTTCCTCTATGTGTATCACCTGAGGCCAGTCACTTCACTGGGTATATGTAAGGATTTAGAACCACTTTGAAGCAGAACTACACTCACCTCTGATCCAGCGATGCATCATCCTGGAGCTCTCTGCCCGGCATCTTAGAGCGCCCAGCTTCCAGGTCCCGAACACTGGCTGCTGTTATTGGCTGGGCTGAGGTGATGTCACCTGCACGCATGCTTGGGAGTATCGGCAAGTTCAGCATTGCCAAATTTGCACAGTGAGCTGCACCTGTGTGCTCTCTGTACCAGGGGGAACAGGCAGGTAGGTGGACAAAGCATGTCTCTTCTGCACTAAAATCCCTGCCTGTTTGCCCATTTTTAATTGTCAATCTAAAGTTCCACTTTAAGTTTACTTATGTCCAATTAGTGAAAGAGTTCCTCTGACTGAGTTGTTTTTAATACTCTCTGTTAAAAACATTTGCTGCTGTTTTCTGTTTTGTATCATAGCATATGGACTCGCACATGATCGCTTGGTGTACTGTGCACCTTACAGTCAGTCACCGGTTTTCCAGTACTGAGTGTAGCATCATTGTCCTCCTATGTATTTGGACGTGGGAAGGCTTCCTGCTTTGGTTGACGCCTTCCAGAGAATGAAGACACACTCTAAATACTAGAATACTGGTACCTCATAGCTAAACAGAGGTTGATTTACTAAAGGCAAAGAGGCTGTTCACTCTACAAGGGATTTTTCCTTTATCTTACTGATTATGGTGAAAATTTACTTTGCAAAGCAAAAAAAAACACATAACTGGATGATGAAAGTCAGCAGAGCTTCACTTTAGTCACTAGGGGAACTTTCCCTTGCAAGGTGAACAGCCTATTGCCTTCAGTAAATCAACACCCATATTGTACTGACAGTAGAGAACCTCTCCTATGCATGTTCTATCTCCTACCAGCATTTCATCAAGTTTAGGAGGGATTCTTGGTTTAGTTCCCCCCACATTTTTTCTAGCACCACTGTCATTAATAGATATCTGTCTGCTTTTGTTTCCAGGCGCCAACCCTGTACAGTCTCTGAAGTGTTTCACTTTTGCTGGGTGCTGTTCATCAATGCAAAAGGTACAGTGAATATTCGTATGTATCTTCTTCCTTAAAACAAGTTCATAGTCCAATCTGGGCCCCCAGACTTTCTAAACAAAGGGCTGGTTTACTGTTCTTAAAGCGAAACTATACTGACGTTGGCTCCAGCAATGCGACGTCCTGGAGCTCCCTGCCGGCAGCTGATATCTTCGAGCAGTCGGCTTCCAGGTATCAATTGCCGGACGCTTTCATTGGCTGGGCGGGGATGTTGTCATTCCTGTACATGCACGGGAGTTCCGTCAGCTTCACTTTGCTGAATTTCTACAGTGAGCTGCGTGTGTGCAGCTCACTGTACGGGGCGGACAGGCAGGTAGGTCATTTTGATGCTGAATAGAGACAAAGCATGTCTCTTCTACATTAAAAATCCTGCCTGTTCACCCATTTTTATTTATCACCTAAAATTCCACTATATGAAATTGGGGGCTAGACTATTGCCAGTATAAGTAGAAAATGTCCCTTTATCAGTCAGAATAAACATGCCTCAGACCTAGTGGTCAGTGGGAATAAAAATTGACCTCAGATAATCAAGACAGTGATAAACATTTTACATGTATTTCTACAAGAAACACTGTTTGTTGCTAGAATGTTAATTGCAAGGGTCTGACTCAGGGCTTCACCCCCAACAATTCAGCATTGGATTGCCGCTAATAATCTCACTCTACCTTACAAAAAAGATATTTATATTCATAGAGAAGTTGTCCAGTTAAATATAATAAGATCTGGGACAGATGGTTAGAACCTTCAGCATGTAATGTAGATGAGTCTGAAGGATTATAGTTGTTTTTTTCTTGTACACTGCATTGCTTTATACACTCACCAGCCACTTTATTAGGTACACCTGTTCAATTGTTTGGTAACACTAAACCGATCTTATGGTAGCAACTCAATGCATTTAGGCATCTAGACATGGTGAAGATGACTTGCTGAAGTTCAAACCAATTGTCAGATTAGGGAAGAAAGAGGATTTAAGTGACTGAACGTGGCATGGTTGTTGGTGCCAGACAGGCTGCTCTGAGTATTTAAAAAAATTGCTGATCTATTGGGATTTTCATGCACATGCCATGTCATGTTCAAAGCCACTTAAATCTGCTTTCTTCCCCATTCTGTTGCTCGATTTGAACTTCAGCAAGTTGTCTTCACCACGTCTAGATGCCTAAATGAATTGAGTTGCTGCCATTTGATTAGCTGATTAGCAATTTGTGTTACCAAGCAATTGAACCTAATAAAGTGGCCGGTGAGTTTATATGCACTATTACTTATCATTGATCTCCAAACCTCTGCTTTTATATGAGCCAGAAGTAAAGACAATTTAGAGTTTGAGCATTCTATGTCTTGCTCCCTATGGTTGGAAAGCAATTCAGTAGCTCCTCACCATTTGGATTTTCTGTTACATTTACATGGGTTTTGTCTTTTTTCCTATTGTAATATGGTATGGTGTCACTTGTATTGCTCCTTTTGTATTTTATACATGTTTATCTTTTTTCAAGAAAGAGCTTCTTTGACCAAAAAAAACACCATTTGACCTCAGGGCCTGTGGTCAGTGAGGGAGGAATAATGCCCTATTGTTTGTGTTAGTAGAAGTAATAGTTCTCTGTTGCTGGTGTCAGTGGAGGGAATAGTGCCCAATTGTTTGTGTCAGTTGGAGAATCTTTGCCCTATTGTTGGTGTCAGTTTGAGGAATGGTTCCCCATCATTTATGAATTGCTACCAGTAGGAGGAATAATGCCCATATCCTGGGTATTAGTGGGAGGAATGATGCCCCATTGTTGGTGTCAGTGGGAGAAATAGTGCCTCATCATTTGTGTCAGAGGGAGCAATAGTGCTGAATAGTTCAAGTCAATGGGAATAACAGTGCTCCATCAATGGTTTCAGTGGGAGCATATTGTCGGTGTCATTAGAAGGAAACATGCCCCCTTTTCGATGTCAGTGGAAAGAATTTTGCCACAAGGGCCAGTTGAATGCAAGCACAGGGCTGCAGTTTAGGGACCACTGGTCAAAACATTTGTATCCTGGGGTTTTCCAGCCCCTTGATTTACTTACATGGTCATGCAGTGTTCAAAATGTAAATAGTGCACGTGCAAATGTATTCAAAAGCAAAACTAAAAAAAAAACAGATAAACTCTGCTCTCAGTGTAACTAGATAAAATATATAATGTGTACGACAGCAGTAACACCAGAACACTAGACAAAATACTACATACGAAAAAAGTGCACTATCCCTTTAAGGGGCTGATATAAACATATGTATGAAAAAATGACCTTTAGATGATAAGGATTCAAGCAGCTCCAACCATTAAAGTGACATTAAAGGCTCACTTTTTATTTTTTAAAGATAACAAACTTTTCATTCTTACTTGCTTGGTGTAATGGCTTTGTACAGAGCAGCCCTGTTCTTCTTCTTCTGGGGTCCCTCGCTGGTGCTCTGGGGTCCCCTCGCCAAGTGTCCCCAGATCAAGCTGCTTGCTTCTCGCTTCTGAGCCCTGCTCTGTGTGTCCTTAAGATACACAGTACAGGGCTCATCCCACCCCCTGTTCTCATCACTGACTCTAAATGACAACAGCATGAGCCAATAGCTCCTACTGCTGTATCTGAGCCAATGAGCGCGCGAGAGAGCCTAGACCGGGATTGGGCTCTGGTGTGTATTTAGAGGGGGCAGTAGGGGAAACTGCATGTAGAAGGTTTTTTTTTGCCTTGCTACAAAAAATGCAGTAAGCTTAAAAACCGTCTGCCTTTAAAACCATTTTAAAACAATAATTTGTTTCATAAGTAAATGTACTCCAAAAGGAAGTACGAGAACAACATGAAATCCTCGCTGCTATTTGTTTTTAATGGTACTGCACTATGTGGCCTTTTCCTTCTCTTCTTGTTTTTTGGTGGCTTATTGTAATTTGGAGGAGATAATCACCATTATTACTGGGCTGTGAAAGTGACGTGGAATTAACTGGCAGGAGCTGTTTGGTTCCTTTACCACAAAAGCTCCTATGATCTCCTATAATCTAGAGGTCATTGTTTCTGGTAAGGAGTGTGCACCTGCGGGTTTGGGATTGAAGCAGGCACCTTGTCAATGGAGTGGTATTTTCCGAAGCGCAACTTCACTTTATGAACATTTTGTACACATACAAAAAAGTGTAAACCATTATGACACATACAGTATGTGTCATAATGGTTTACACTTCTCCATATTTTTGATATATACGGGGTTAGACAAAAATATGGAAACACTACATGATTTGCAGGTGTGAAAGTGACCACCTGTTTCGCATTGAAAGTGGAAGTGACGTAACATTCTTTTGCTTCTGCTGTGTGATGAGACACCTAGCTAACAGGTGGGAAACCTCATTTTCATCATTCACTGTGTGCTCTGCTAGTAGTACAGTCATGTCAGAGATTACTGAGCTTCAGAGAGGGTAATTGTTGGTGCCCCCTTAGCTGGTGCCTCTGTGACTGAAGTTGCCAATTTATTTGCTGTGTCGTGAGGTACACTATCAAAGGTTATGACGGCGTATACAATGAAGGAAATAAGTATTTGATCTCCTGCTGATTTTGAATGTTTGCCCACTAACAAAGAAATGATCAGTCTAAAAATCGAATGGTAGATGTATTGTAACACTGACAGACAGAATAGCAACAAAAAATTCAAAAGAAATGCATGTCTAACAAATGATGCACGGATTTGCATGTTCATGAGGTAAAGAAGTATTTGATCCCCTTCACAAAACATGACTTAGTACTTGGTGGCAAATCCCTTGTACTTGGTGGCAATCACAGAGGTCAGACGTTTCCTGTAGTTGGCCACCAGGTTTGTACACATCTCAGGAGGGATTTTGGCCCACTCCTCTTGGCAGATCCTCTCCAAGTCATTAACGTTTGGTGGCTGATGTTTCGCAACTCGAACTTTCAGCTCCCTCCACAGATTTTCAATCGGATTAGGGTCTGGAGACTGGCTAGGCCACTCCAGGACCTTAACGTGCTTCTTCTTGAGCCACTCCTTTGTTGCCTTGGCCGTGTGTTTTGGGTCATTGTTATGCTGGAACACCCATCCATGACTCATTTTCAATGCCCTGGCTGAGGGAATAAGGCTCTCACCCAAGATTTGATGGTATATTGATCTGTCCATCGTCCCTTTGATGCAGTGCAGTTGTCCTGTCCCCTTAGCAGAAAAACACCCCCAAAGCACAATGTTTCCACCACCATGTTTTGGATAGTTGGGATGGTGTTCTTGGGGTCATAGGCAGCATTCCTCCCCCCTCCAAACACGGCGAGTTGAGTTGATGCCAAAGAGCTTGACTTTGGTCTCACCTGACCACAACACTTTCTACCAGTTCTCTGAATCATCATTCAGATGTTCAGTGGAAAACTTCTAACGTTCCTGGACATGTGCTTTCTTGAGCAGAGGGTCCTTTCAGGCACTGCAGGATTTCAATCTTTGTTGGCGTAGTGTGTTACAATTTGTTTTCTTGGAGACTGTGGTCCCAGCTGCCTGGAGATCATTGACAAGATCCTCACATGTAGTTCTGGGATGATTCCTCTGTTCTCATGATCATTGACACTCCACAAGGTGAGATCATGCATGGTGCACCAGACCTAGGGAGACTGACAGTTGTTTTGTGTTTCGTCCATTTGTGAATGATTGCACCAACTGTTGTCACCTTCTCACCAAGCTGCTTGGCGATAGTTTGGTAGCCCAGTCCAGCCTTGTGTAGGTCTACAATCTTGTCCCTGACATCCTTGAACACCTCTTTGTTCTTTAACATGGTGGAGAGTTTGGAATCTGATTGTTTGATTGCTCCTGTGGACAGGTGTCTTTTATACAGGTAACAAAATGAGATTAGCAGCACTCCCTTTAAGAGACTGCATCTAATCTTAGCTTGTTACCTGTATGAAAGATACTTGGAAGCCAGAAATCCTGCTGAATGATAGGGGATCAAATACTTTTTTTGCTCATGAACATGCAAATCAGTGCATAATTTGTTAGACAT